TATAATATATGTAACGCAATTGAGTGCGTATCTTATCACCAAATACCGTATAGTGACGAGCATCAACGATATTCAAGTGGCGAATGCCGATAAATCAGTAGATAGTTCCAAAATTGATAACGCAATCCACTAATCACAATACAATTTCGTTTGCTCACGATATTGTTTTGTTCTTTAATCACAAACATATGTGTTGGACTATATTTCGAAACTTTATTAATTTTAAAAGGACAGTTGGTGCATTCGCGGATTTTAACTTACAAAATGCACGTTTATGTCTTTCGAGATAAGATGTAAGTTAAGAAAAAATATTTAAGTATTTATAATTGATTGATCAAGACATTTTGAGTGACTGTAAATGTGCTTTAGTTATATTTTTAAGTGATGTGTTAAGTGATGTCGGGAAAGTACAGTGTAGTGTTGGCGGTGTTAGTGGCAATTTGTGGAATATGTGATTCTCAGTGGTTAGAACCAGTGGATGATCCGACATTGGATCAGAATCAGTTACGTCATGGAAGTCACGGTGGACACCATTTATACCGGACGCCAGATTCGTCAGGTTTCGTGAGTGTTCGTTATAGGCAATTATGATATGTGGTTTAAGATATTTATTTGTCACAAGAATTTACATAATTCACTTACGTGAGTAATTGACAAAAAATAAAAATCCTAGCCACTACGAAAAGCGTATACAATACAACACTTCTTAATTTAAAAACTATGCGTACGGTACCTTATATTAGATTACAATATGAGGGTAACCAACAAAAAAAAAAAACAATCGGAAACATAACAGAGTTAAAATGCGCGTCACTTTAAGTGGCACTTTTAGTTATCAAGTTTAATAAATTTATTTTATTTTAACACTGTGTTGCATATTTAAAGATGCATCATTCATTATACATTTTACGTTTGGTAAACTTTGACCGTATTATTTACATTAACTTTTGTTATTTTGTAGCTATTTTTTTTATTTACATATTAGACATTTACGATAACGTACATATGTTGAACAAAAATATATAAAAAGAAGGTTCTTGATCTTATACATATTAAGTATTATATGATCTTGACATTGAAAAAAGATAAACATCAGACTTTGTTAATTTTTTCAATTTAACGACTCTAATTCAGTTTAACGAATAAACAGTTTGTACGGTTGGTTCACCGCACACACGTTTTGCCGATGTCGGCGCGACTCGCGTTATAAATACAAGTATTAAGTAATAATTTCACGTACTTTTTATGCAACTATACAACAGATTCGGGTTCAATATTTCTGGGTTATTAAAATTATTTTTACTTATAGGTTTACGGGAATCAGTGTTTTTCTATATCTCCAACTATCTTCAGCGTGCGTCATAACTAAAACTAGAGTTTTACAAACCACTCTTATGTATAGACCCACTAAAATCTATTTTAAAACCCATACATAAGAAAGAAAGAAAGTTTATTGACCACACCTTACATGAACACAATGATAATGTATAAGAGAAGAAGAAAAAAAATACAAATATTAAAAAAATATATATATGCAACATTTTAGGTAGTGACAGAGTGGTCAATATGGACCTTATCTCAGCGATGGCCCCTGTGCCATATCAAGATGCGCAAAATGACACAGAGGCGCTGTTATTATAGTTAAAAATTCTATAAAAATATAAAGAAAACTTTGACGTTTATAGCGAAAACGTTGAATTGAAATTGCCGAAACTCTATCAAAATGAAATTTCGTCTATTTTCGAAACACTTATATGACTCCAAGGAAACACATTTTTCGATAATTTGTAATGTAACAGAAGTAGGATCTGATAGTGCCAACTAAACCAAAGGTGCCGTTATTAAAATAAGTAGTGAAATCCATATCAACATTATTAACTAATTAATATTTTTTAGCAGATTAGAGGGTGTAACCTGACATGCTGTTGACTGTACTTTTATTCTCAACACTTCTGAAAAAGCCTATCTATAAAAATTTCAATATCAACCGTGATCGTATGTCAAGCAAAACTTTATTATGTTGATAGTGGTCTTATCATCTATTTCAATCTATCTTATCTGTTTCTAAAAAGAATATTTACTTGTTTTGTGATTTTTCAATTGTCTGCTATTATGGTAATACAATTAATCAGTTTCGTAAAAAAATTCATATATCTTTTTTTGTAGGGGTTTTCATTTGGGTTTCATGAAATGATAAAATAACAAAACCGTTCTTTGCTCAAAATACCGGTTAATTACACAGACTACGGTTACTCTGCTCATCGGTCGCAGTAATCCCAGTAATTATAATACTCGGTGGCGTAGTGGACAAGCGCCGCGGTCCGTGAACGTTGTTGTTAGGCAACTTTCGCAAGGATCGCTCACGGGATAGGTGACCTAAAAATTACTATCTCGAGCTAATCCGTACTTCTTAAGGCACGTTAAACCGTTGGTCCTGGCTACATTTGTAATCGTTAATACCCTCTTACCCGCGTTGGGCCAGCGTAGAGGATTATAGCCCATCCTCGTAAACCATCCATAAGGAATGCCTGAGCTTCTGCAGAGGGGGTGTAACAGAACTGAAGATGATAATGCTCGCGAAACGATTCCACCCCGAAACTAGAATTACGAGAAACGTTGAAACAATCTTTATTAACCGGTATTTTTCAAACCGTTCCAGGCCTACTTAACGAGAATACCATAACGATATTAAAGTTATAGAAAGAAAATTTATCAGTGTTAGAGTTATACCATATCAAGCAACTGAGATAGTCGAGATTTTCTAGATAATTTGTATTCAGTGCCGATCATCGCAACCTCTTCAGTTTCTTTACTCTCGAACGCAATCCGCACTCTTGATTGATTCACTAGTATATTCCGGCACTAGTGTAGCCAATGAAGAGTACGAAACGGCATAATTGCAATGTGGATTGGTCGCGATTGCGTTCCAGAGTAAGGGGGCTGGTTTCAAGATGTCATCATTACCGATGAGGTCAAGAATAGATTAGAATAGAATAGAATATATCTTCATTTGCGTCAAATTTGGTATTTATGGCTTTACAAAACATGTTTCGCAATTCTTATTAGCATGCAAATATATTAATTAATCACAATACAATAAAAATAAAATAATTACTAAAAGATTATAATTTTTTGATATAAATGTCATAAACCCATTATTATTATTATTAACATTTTACATGTCCAAGTATTGTTTAACACTACAAAAATTATATTCATTCAGCCATCTAAACAAATTTCTCTTAAATAATTTTCCTTAATTGTTTTATCCTTAATTGTTTTAATGTTAATCGGAAATTTATATACAGCCTAACACACATACATAGAGAATTATGATTGTATTTTTCCGACTTCGTAATTTCATCAAAGACAAGTCTATTAACATTCCTACGAGTTCGCGTATAAAATTCGGTTGCTGTACAAAACAAATCAGGATTTGACTTCACGAAAACACACGCTTCATATATATATAATGATGGTAATGGCAACAAACGAAGTTCCCTAAATAATGGTTTAAATAATTCCCGTGTTGATTTATAAGTTATTGCTCTTATACACTTTTTTATGCAATAAAAGTTCTTTCAAGCTTAGAACTATTACCCCATATAATGAGACCAAACCGTATAATGGATACAATGTACGCATGATAAACTGACAACACCACATTTCTATTCGTAATGATTCTGTGACGTTTTAGCACATAAACAAACCTATTTATTCTGTGACAGACATTTTCAACATAGCTACTCCAACTTAGATATTTATCAATATTTATGCCAAGAAATTTCGTTTCCGTTATTTCTTTAATTTTTTAATTTTATATTTGATAATTAATTTAGATGTAAGATAAGTATTAAAATTAATAAAATTTGTCATCTTTAAATTTATTTGTAAATTATTATCATCTAACCAACCGCCGATAGCTTCTACTGCGTTAGTGATGTCAATTTCATGATCTTTAATATTAATATTACCAATTTTATCACTTGAGCTTACTGTGATAGATATGTCATTGGCAAATAGAACGCAACTGTGGTTTGTTATTTCTGGGAGAGTATTTATATAAATTAAAAATAAAAATGGTCCTAATACGCTTCCTTGTGGCACACCACATTCGTTGTATCTATATTCTGTAGTAAATGATACTATTTCATTTTTTTGGTTAAGTTTTGTAATTACTGCACTTTATAACGATCCCTTAGATAAGAGCAAATCCAATCCAAAGGAAGACCCCTAATTCCTGCGGATTCAAGCCTATTTAAAAGAGTGTTGTGCTGGACAAAGTCAAAAGCCTTGCTTAAATCAAAAAAGACTGTCGTTGTGGCCAATTGTTTATTTTATACTTTTCTTTGATAGTATCGAGACTAGTGTAATAGGATACAAGAATACAAGAAGAATATACAAGAATACTTTACATATTTTTCTTTATTAGCAACTGTTTTTGTCTGTAATAGTTATATCTCAGCAACCTTTTAGTTTTACAGCTAATTATTGAGCCTTTACTTTTTTTGTAGAATAATTATTTATTCTGTATTGATAATTTTAATGAAAATGGTTACAAAATCTTTATTTATTATCTAAATTCGAGAATGTTATGAAATATACTCACTTCATATAATAAGTCTATACAATATTTATAAATTTACACACAAACAATTGTTTATAGTAATCAAGTATAGTTTAAAAGGGCACTGAATTAAAGAGACAGTTGTAAATATCAGTTTTGGTTAGTTAAAAATTATAAATGGCACGTTTAATAACTAGTTCAGCAGTTAAAACTAAGCAGTAAAGTAAACAAAAATGAGTAATAAAAATGATGAAATGGATCAGTGAATATATAATTGAGCGGGAAAATAATTAAATAGGCGTTAATAAATTATTGAACGAGCGGTTACGTATGGGCAGTAATAAATCGGAATTTGTCGGTTAGAAATCTCATTCTAATAAATTCTATAAACAATGAGGTGGTAAAATAAAATAAAAACAACAGTAATTAAAAATTAAATTACTTTTGCTTTGACTGAAGGAATTAAATAAAACAAATTGTATCGTAATAAATGATTATAATACAAATAAGAGCAGGTTTGGCTTTCAACGGTCTGCCTCTCTTCCTTTTTTGTCCGAGTGAAATGTTTTAGCTTCAACAGGCCGCATCTGAAGCAAGCTCCAGAGCGGTCCTCCTTGGAGGGACACACCCTCCGTACGTGGCCCGTGCCCATGCACTTGAAACAGCGCAAGGGCAACGGATCCAGGCGTTTAACACGGGCAGAAGTCCAGCCCACCAACACCCTCCCCTTTTTGGCCAAAATATCAGCCGCCGCCATAGGGCACCTCAAAAGGGCCATTCTCAGACCTCCAGAGCCCATGCCTATAGGGCCCATGACAAGCTGTTCAGGGGGACAACCACCCTGATTAGCCAGCGCCGCTTTAAGCTCGTCAGAAGTGACAGAGTCGTCCAGCTCTGTCACCCTCAGATCTGTTCTCTTAATGGGCCTCGTGACCTCAACCGAGGCTCCCAAAAGATTCCTCAACTTGGAGGCAAGCAAATCCGCCTGCGCCCCACTATCGGCCCCCGGCACCTTTAAAATTCGGGCACCAGTGGCTGTACTGCCATTACTTACACCTCCCGAAATACCCAGTTCCGGGAGGGCGATCTCCTTTCTGGCCCTAGAAAGAACCTCCCCATAAGTCAATCCCTTGGCCTCCACCTCCGGGGGAATAGTCAATACCACGGCAGTGGTATTTGGTGCCCCAGACTTATGTCTTCCTCGTTTTCTATGGGTTGGAGGAGGCTTGAGCGCCGTAGCTGGCGATGGGGTCTCACTTGCCCCAACAGTCCTCTCACTCTGCCCCACTTTCCCCCCATTCTTCTTTCTTCGTCCCCTCCCAACGACCTGAGCCCAGGTCGACTCCTTGTTTGCCTCAGGAAGAACCGCAGGTTTCGATTGGGCCCCCTTCGTCCCCTCCTCAGTCCCACCTGTTCTAGGTGCACCCGGCAGAAATGCCGGCGTTTGCGTTTCCACAGAACAAGTGGTCTTTCCAGTCCCTACAAGGTCGTTCTTGTTTGAAGCCCCCCTCAAGGCATTAGCTCCGTCTATCTCGCCTCTCAATTTTTCCACTTCAAGCTTCAAAGACTCGTTCTCAATATTGAGCCTCGAGCCCTCCTCTCTCAATTGCTTCACCAGCTGGCCGGCCTTAAGGAACAAACGACCTCTACTCTTAAAGGATATCGCCAGATCAGCAACATCCTCCATGTGTTCCTTAATAAGGTCAAGTGCCACTTCATACATTCCGGATGTATTACCCTCCATAAGGAGTCCGTCAAATGCTGATTTAAGTCTTGTCGTAAAATCCGTAGCTCTATCAACAATCTCTCTCGCCTTAAGCCACGCCCTTCTGGCATCCATCTCCATAAGTCCATTCCTCTCCTCAATGTCTGCCGAATCAAAGTCGAATTCGAATCTACCAACCAATTTATCCGATCTTTCCGACCCTACCATCATCTCATCCTCTACAACTGTCTCCAGTCCACTGCATCCACTTCCGCCCAGGCTGGGCCCCTTCACATCTAAATTTGTTTGTTTTAAATTGTTAGTATTTTCCATCTTAAATCCCACGAGAATCATGGCAAAAACCTCGTCCACCCGTGCAGAGGCCTGATACACGGGCAAGCCTAGGGTTATGAAGGCGGGGGTCGGCCGGTCCCCGCCTCCAGAGGACCTGTAGCGACTCCATTACCAGGAGCCACTCACCTCCTCGCCCAGGTCAAACTTGGCCTATAACAGTTAACTTGAGACCTGAGCGCCGTTGTGTATTACCTACTGCGCTCAGGTTTCAAGTTAAATACAATGAGTTATAGTAAAAGTCTCGTTTAAAATTAGTGTTTAATATCCTCTCATATAGCTCACTATAATGAATAAATTTATTTTGAAGTTATAGTGGTTTTTAAGTATGTGAAAAATAATTTATTCTCAAAGTGGGCAGTAGACAAAATAAGTTTAGGAACCTTAATGATTCTTACTGATTATTTCCTCTTCTTCTTCTTCATCCACTATCTACCGCTTGGCCCACTTCAGTTTCTGTAGTATTTTTAAATCTTGGGAAATCTCTCAAGTCATATCACCAACTCCAACCAACACGGTCGCTTCTACCACAGATTTACACTACGAGTTTTATTTGCGGGTGATATGATCATCCTGGATATGATCGTGCGATATCTCTAGGGTATGGATTAATCTTCAGAGTCTGATAACTATTTCTTTTTATTTTACAAAAAATAAAAACTTACGGATGAGGCGTTGATGAGGCCTTATGAATAATTTATGATAATCTATTTAAATACAAAATTGAAATATATAATATAACAATCTATTTTCTTTCACAGATTCTCCAGCAAAAGATTATTCTATAGAAGTCAGAAGTGTTACAGAAACTGTGGATTGTAAAACTCCGCTTATGTGCTATGAATATAACATTCCAGGCGTAAGTATTATTTTATATTATCGGCAGTCTATCATCATCATAATCATTTGCTTGCATGTGTCTCAAAATTGTTTTTTATCAGGACTTCCAATCCCCAATGTCGAAATCCTGCGTCTGTCTCGCTTGTTGCGTAATTACGAGGTGCTAGTCTAGGACTGTTAGATTGACTAATCAATTTTCTCATACAAAACTAAGGGGGTTGATGGGGAAATATCTGACATTTACTTAACCTCTCAAAAGCTCTAGAAGGAAGTAATATCGTCTCTAGTATGCCAACCGCAGTTTTTCGTTTTATGTTTTCTTCGACAAAGTCTTCCACACCACAGATGCTTGACTAATGGGTTCCCTGCTGTAGAGCAGCATTCGCTACCCAGAACCTGGGTAGCTCAGTGGTCAGAGAAATCACCCAGATTACGAAAGATCGTTGGTCCGAATCTCATCTCAGAGTACCAGAGACAAAGTCGAGTTTTTAAGCATTTTTCATTAAAAATACTTATAGGATAGTTCTGCAATAGATCTTATATTAAATTTTGTCCTAGGATACGACGTGGTGGTTGGTGCCTGCATACGCTAATACGGTAGCGGAGTCATGTGCTGTGCGGCCAGGCTGTACTTATAACGTACAGCTGACAGCTCACCCGTGGGATGGAAAAACTATCATTGGTCAAACCATACAATTAGATGGTAAGTGCCTCATTTACCATTTTTTTATAAGTCAGAGGAAATTAACTTTAAACTCAAATCAGCGGTGAGACTGCCTCGCACTGCAGCCATGATTCTAGACATAGGATACGACATCTTATCGATGTTATAGTGCTATTTCGTTACATCTTATTGCTCTGATATGTGTTTTGGTTTATGATTTTGGGCTGTCCGACCACCCCGCAATGAAAAGGGTAGGATTAATATGGAAAGCTTACCGGGTAAATTCCGCTGCGGTTGCTCTCACACGCATGGATGAGTCCGGTATCCTGCAAGGTGTCTTAATTACTTACGTACTAGCGCCAAAGTCGAAAAGTATTCTTTGTATAAAGACTTCAGATTTTGGAAACATATTGAGGAAGGCATATCGAACCGAAATATGGGCATGTTAAATACACACGAGCTTTGATTTTATACCTCTGAAAGAACAGATCAGATTTGAAACGCTCCTGTGCGTGTCACGCAAATAAGTATGCGTGAAGTACTCACATTGTTGTACATTTCCAATATATTTTTATTACGATCTACACAGACATAAAATCAAAATACGCGACTTTCACTTTCTCAATGTTCATCTACTTCTCAAGAGTCATGTACGAGTATTTTGCAATCTACAGTAATAAAGCTATAGTTATTCCTGTATAAAAAAGGGAAATTTATCTAGTAGATTATAATAATAATAAATTTTATTGCACAATAAAGAAATACAACAAACACGACAACCATGTAATTAATTTGTCTACTGGGGGAAACGTTCCTCATGGATGGAATCGAAAGGAATCAAATAGAGAAAATGGGCCATAACCCACCACATAGGCCCAGTTCAGATTGGTAGTTGTTAAAGACTGCAGATATAGCTCAGACCAACGACTTAACGTACCTCCGGAGCACGCAGATGCTCGAGATGGCAAATTTTTGGTCACCCATCCTATGACCAGCCATTGCGAAAGTTGCTTAACAACCGTATAAAAGATCAAGTGCGTTAATCCTCGTCAACAAACAGTTATCATAATCAAAAATGATATGTAATTTAGAATTTTAAATACGATAATTTATTAAGTTTTTAGTTACAATAGAAATAGAAAATACAATAGAATAACTATTTCTTTTTCGCCTGGTGCTAATATAAATTCAGTAGGTTGATTTTATATGAGTCTAGAAATAGTAAGATTTTTTTTATTATCAGAGAGAGTATTGGTAGAAGAGAAATGGCGATTGAGATCATCAAGACCGAGAGAAAATGAAAATCTTTCCTTTTTATAATAGTAGTATAGATGATGTACCTAGCAGTACACATATAAATTTAAGCTTTTTACATTAGACTTGGCCCAAAGCGTATTGGAGGGTATTAACGACTGCAAATGCAGCTGGGACCAACAGCTTAACGTGCCTACCGAAGCACGGAGTAGCTCGAGATAATAATTTTTTGGTCACCCATCCCGTGACCGACCCTTGCAAAAGTTGCTTAACGACAAACGCCACCGAGCTACCTCAATGGTCAATGCTGGCCGCTAATATTTTGAATTATTACTTTTTCCGTGTTAGAATTCAAATGTTCGTGTTTTGCTGGTTGATAAATTTTTCATTCTGATCGAGACAGGCATAGAGTCAATTAGAATTTAGTTATAAGTGATTTGATGTATATTATTTGCAAATAAAATCAAGCGGTTAAAGAATCATACCAGGATCTCATTCCGCCATCCAGAGCTACTACTGATCCCACCATTAGAGTACCTACCTACTTAGTTTTCACCGAAAATAGTGTTTACAACTATTCTTCCCGCGAATTATCGATATCATCGACTATCATCCATTAGAAATATACACATTCCTACCTACCGTTGATGTTATTTCAAACCATTCAACATTGAAGTTTACAAGATAATAAATTAATTAACTCAGACATCGCACTATACGCTTTTCAAGAGTGTATCATATACGGATGACAACTTTGTAAACAGAATCTAAAAATGTTTACTTAAATCATTTCTAAGAAGAACAGCTGCATCAATGGAACAAGATTAGTTACAGTCATGAAGCTGTTTAAAAGTGGAAAATAATAAGGTGTGATTCCACGGATCGCAGCACGCGGCAGATGGCAGCAGCAGATAGCGACGGTATTATTTATTATAGTATTTATGGACCTCTTACACGAGGTCAATAGCCGAGACAATCCAGTAAGCCAGTCCAGTAACATTAGATAGGTATCGTTTTTAGTTGGTCTGGCCTGAGGATTGTTTTCATTTACACGACGCTAATACTGCCGTGCAATTCTGTTAACACATTTCGAACATCAGACAGCTGAATCCGCCGTGAAATTTAAATTTCATATTCTCTGTAATCGAAAATGCCGCTGTCGCCTCACTGTCGAAACACGCAATAAATTGAACTAAGATAAGTAATATATTTTTTAACACCTTTGCTCGTAAAGCTGATGTAATTCCACCGGTTTTAAATATGTAAAGCGGGTCATAAAAAACGCGTGTGTTACCAAAGCAAATAGTCAAGTTATAGTCCATACAAATTCCATAACAGTACTATTTGCCATTTCGCGCGCTGTTGCTATTCAAATTTCGAACTAATCGCCGCGCGGCGCCAGTCAGTAGGCAGCGCTAACGCGCTGTTAAAATGGCGGGACAGCAACAGTGTACATTCACAGATTGAGTTTATTTAAGGTTTTTTTTTCTGTTTCCTGGAAAAGTGTTAAAAAATGTCGTACGATATACGTGCGTATTGGTTATCACATGCTCGGCTCAATTCCGCCTCGCATGTTATAACCATCATAACGCACTAATATCGTAATATACTATTGACGTTAATGAATCTTAGTTTCATCTTAAAGTGGAATTTACAATTTGGCATCATGGCTATTTGGTTACAAACCATCTCAACATTTGTTTTATGCAATATTTTTTGAAGGTTAAATAATAATTCAAATTAAACTATTTTATTGCAATATATCGGTGTAGAACATTTTTTTGATTCCGTGTTTTGTAAAGGAATACAAAACAAGATCAATTGATTCGTATATATCTAAGATATTGCACATCTATGTCTCTGTTGCTGGGCCAAAATTTTGCTAATTTTTACGTAACCGCATCTCATTGGAATCTCAACTGCTTTCATTTTGCCATTGTACAATTTATTCGAAGACCAATATCATAAGTGCAAAGTCTTCCTCCCAAATTTTTTATTTTGCGATCTAGTAACAAGAACTGTTTTATAAATAGTTGTAGTTGAAGCGCTATTGACTTTCCATGATTATGCCTCGTGCAAATTGTTCATAATTTGTGTAAGACCATTTTCCAATACGACTGCAAGGACAGATCCTATCATGTGAAAGTTGATAATGAATAAGGTAAAAGTAACGACTGGCTCGGCACAAGGATACGGTACTTGAACCACTTCACTATGTTACTTATGAATAAAGTTCAGTGAACACAATTAAGTCTTGTGAAATTTATCAATTTGCAGATGATATTTGTCTACTCGCTGCTGATCATAATATTGACACAGCTCTTGCCAAACCCCAGACTAACAAATCTTGTAAAATGGTCTCATAATCAAAGACTAGTAATAAACTAATATACATAGGTACAAAAGAAAAAACTTTATTACGACTTATAGCTCAAAGCCACGGCTGTCTACATACTATCTAATATAGAGGTTTTGGGATGTTCTTGTGAAGCTCTAGAGGTTGTTAGTGAGCATACGTACTTGGGAATGATAATCGATGATAGACTATCTTGGAATTAACGAACTATTCGCATATGTGAAAAACTACTGCCAATACTTGCAAAATTATCAATACTGAAGTATAGAGTTCCTTACCCTATTTTGTTAACACAAGGCACTTGGCGAAACAGTTAATTCGTATGGTTTGATTATTTATGGACGTACATACAAAAGAAACTTACATTAAATCTATTTTTTACAATTACGTGTTCTTAAACGCATTGTCTTAAAATAACTACCAGATGATCTTTCATTACTGCAAAATTATTCCTGTCTACATCAAAGTTAGTTTAAATATGTCGAAAATTATTTTACTTCTGATTTTAAAATACCTATAAATAATAGTAAAGGAATTAGAAGGTTCAATAATAAAAATAGCATTCTATATATATATATATATATATGCATTTTTATAAAAATGTGCATGGGAAACGAACAATTAAATATATAATTCCAAACTTAATCAATAAAGTTCCTCTTAATCTAATACTCGTACAAATATAAATAAAACGAACCATATTTTATATCCAAACAAACTTTTCTGGCTTTTGTTGCAGTAAGTGATACAATTGATATGTAATTTGTTATTCATCGATAAATTAAAAAAAAACATACGCTCCTGCCACACGTCAGTCTGATATGAGAAATGTGTAGAGTAGATATTTCGATATTACCAAAAAAGTACTTATATTCATAATATTGTCGTACTTATATTTAAGATGCTTGATCACTTTTCATCGTCTTTGTTTCCCAAAGATTAGAGAGGTTCAGGACAAGTAATCCTAAACCCTTTTCAACGTAAATACATATTAAAACATACCTTAACCTTCGCTAATCTCACAAAATAAGTTTTCGTTTGGGCATCTTTTTATTTAGGAATACTTAGCATTGGCTGTGTTTTATTTATAATTTTGTCAGGCTATTAACTCGTATTTAAGTAATCTTCTACAAAAAAAGGTTAATCTATAAATTAATAGGTACTTAATGTAAAAACTTTTGACGCTAATAATTAACGAAATTTGCATGTATGTACGAATGTGGAAGGCACAATTTTCTTTTTTTTTTTCAGAATGTGTTTTTATAGATGCATTTATAAAGTCAACCACCACGGTCGAGTGGTTTCAAAAAATCGCCATGTCTGACGTTGCGGATCGATTCATAGTCGGGTCAATGTAGAAAATGAATTTTCCTTATTTCAAATTTCCACAATTATATGTGTACCTACAAGTATTTTAGTTACTAAATCTTGGATCAACATAAGTCCAATATTTATTTATATAAGCCATTTGGTCCTGTATTATGTAGACAAAGCTTTCTCTTGAAATATTCCGTGTATTGATCAAGACCGCATTGAAATCCAAAAATCTCAGCGTAAAGACAACGGAAACTGCTGTATATAGATAGATATAAAAATTATATTATAATGTCATAATATATTATTAACTCGGTGACATAGTGGATAAGAGCTTTGGCCCGCGATCATAGTTGTTAAGCAACTTTCGCAAGGGTCGGTAACGGGATGGGTGATCAAAAAATTATTATCTCGAGCTAATCCGTGCTTCGGAAGGCACGTTAAACCGTTGGTCCCGGCTGCATTTGCTGTCATTAATACCCCCCATTCCGATTGGGCCAGCGTGGAGGGTTAGGACCTATGCTCCTTAACCATACATAAGGAAGACCTGAATACCTGTAGTGGGGACATAAAAGTACTGATGATGATGCAAATATTATTGTAATAGTCCTCTTAACAGAATGTGCATTTATTATAATGATATCTGTTCCAGTTGTGATGTCTTAAACTGTGGTATCCCCACATCACTACTGTTCAGGTCTGCGAGCCTAGTGTAGTGATCACTGCCTAGCTAAGTAACTGTACGCTGTTTGGAAAATAAATAATATTTGATTTGATTTGACATTGCAGAAACTTTTAAATGAGCTAGAATTGACTGAGTAACTTGAAAATTTTAATTTGCCGAGCATTTTGGTTGATGATAGTACTTGATTAATTACTACTTGCTTATTTTATGTTGTATGTTTTGTATTTATAAATATTTTAATTCACAATCCGCCTCCGGAAGACCCCGATGGCCGAAACTGATGACCCCCCTAGAACCGCCGCCGTGACAATTTTGTCCCATTCTATTTTTCACTACGTTTATTAGTATTATGAGTGAAATTATAAATAAAACAATGTGTAAGTTACTTCAAACCATGTTTATTTATTTATTAAAATCAAAATAATAATCCTTTTAAAAAAAAACTTAATAACTTTTTTTTTCTTCTTCATATGGGACTTCATAGCCCTCACAAATAACATAAATATAAATTATAATGTAATAAATTCCAAAAATCTACAAATTATTTATTATCACAATGGCAAATATTACATAAATAATATTCTTTACCAGTGCATTTATTACAGATAGTTTTTTTACACCTATGGCACTTTACAGATGACTTATTACTTGTGCAATTTGACTTGACCTGACACCTTGTACGTTTTTCTTGTTTTCCTGGTATACTTTCTGGAATTTCCACAAGAATGGCTGTTTTTCTATTATTCATGTACTGTGATCCCAATTCTTCTCCCAGTAGCCTCTACGTTTAAAAAGTCTCTACGTTAAATTTTGCTGTTGTTGATAATTTTATACAATACCCATGCGTTTATAGTCGCCAAATCTAACAGATTATAAAATGTATGAACTGGCCAACGTCTAGAAGTCGCCTTTACTGTATATTTCCTGCTCATCGAATCTACAACATCTACTCCATACTTCGTGCTGTTATAGAATAACACTATTTCCGGTTTTCTCTTCGAACTAGGACTTATTGTTTGTTCATCAAGATTATTATTGTGCATCAAGACATATGCATAGTGCTGAGTATTAGAACATTTTTATTTGGCTTAGTCTGATAAACAGTCAAAGTTGTGTCTTCAGTTTTCAGGAGAGAGGTCTTATATAATTCTTCCTTAGCGGTTTTTACGGATGCCGGTATTTCTCTTCGAACTCTATTTACAGTACCTACGATACTAGTGTTTTTAGAATTCAAATATCCCGCTAGTAAAAGAGAGGTAAAAAAGCTGTCACATGTGACATTTCTGTCTTTATTGATGTAAGGCTCCATCAATTTCTTTACCACTCAATCACCTAAACGCTCGTCATTAAGTCTATGATCATCTTTCCCAAGGTAAGGGAACGCGTTTATTATATAATTTGCATCTTTGTCAACAGCCATCCAAAACTTTTGACCATACTTATCTGGCTTTCAGATCATAAACTGGGTAAATCGGCAACGACATTCTCGCAACCGTCTTTGCACTTGATCTTGGGTTTCAGTCGCGATGCTCATCAGACTTGTTGCTTCTGAAATATAAAAATAGAATAAAAGATCAACTAACAACACAAAAAATAACACACAAATACATAAATAAAAAACAACATGAATGACGCTATATTTCAATTGAGCATAAAATAAAAAATATTTACCTTGAGGTATTCCTCTCTCAAGAGTCTCATCAGATTCATCAGAAGAAGAATCGGAACCGTTTTCTAACTCGTAGTCGTCGTCAGAATAATCTAAAAGCTCACCATCTGATTCGTCCTCTAAAATGTTATTCAAACTGGACAAAATTTCTTGCGGATTCAATATTCTGCGACGATGGCTAGACATAATTATAATACGTGAGTTTATGCGCTTGTTAAAACAAAAACGTACACACTTTACTCGATGCGACGGAGAAGTGAATAGAAACAATGCTCAACTGTTTAGTAGCCCCTCCACCCGCGCAACTAGCCAGGGCAATGATCTTACGTCGTTCGATTGTTACAAATTTTGGCGGGACAAAATTGACCCGGCGGCAGTTCTAGATAAATCTACTATTATTTTATTTTATATTGTTTTTTTTAAATAGAAAACATATTAAATTAATAAAATACAATAAATGATAAAAAGTCAAAAAGTTTCAAGGTCTTTAGTGGAAAAAATAAAAAGTTAGAGACGATGAAACTTACGGGTGGGACAAAAATGGAACGATGGCGCTTCTTAATTCACGTCACTACTGTTACTTCACAACACTACTTAATCGTCCGTATAGGATTCACAGCACTAGTTTTCGCTTCGAAGTTCACTTCTATTCGCTCACTATTTCATTCACTGTTCACTGGAAGAATGCCGGGATGGAAGACCCGCCGCATATTTATAGGGGCCGATACCACATATAGAATGTTCTAGGTTAGGATCTAGAACATTCTAGGTTGGCCTCGGCCCTGTCGGTGTATTCGAGTCATTAAAATTCTAGAACGGCTATCCGTCCCTTTCTTCGCCAGTGACTGTCCCTTTCTCACTGAAATGTACATACCTATATGACACATGTAGTTTCGACGACGCTGTTAGCGCGATTTAAATGACACATAATGCCATCTAGTAACGAGTAGACGAAACATCGCACCACTGCGCCCTAAATACTATATTCAAAGTGTCGCTTACTATTTAGCTTACAGCAAATGTGCACTATTTTAATTGGGCACAGATACCTTTACCTATTAAGATAATATAAGATCAGTCAGCCCGTGACCACGGCCGGTGTAACCTGGTCGAAACGTTGGGAAATAGGTAAAAAACCTAACTATCGAAATCTACTGCGTTAATACCCGTCTTATACAATCTAATATAATGCAACGCGAAAGTTGAAAGTTTATAATATAACATCTGTTATCTATTTGTATTCTGTTGTCTGTAATTGTACCTTAGTAATAAAATTTAAAAAGCTGTATTGTTATTAGAATGCGTAGCGGGCGTATGTTCGTGTGCACACTCCCCTCGACTACCCACGCCGGTGGTCTCCGCGACGACTATCGTTGTTCAAGGGAAGATCATGGTCAACGTGAGCTGGACTTTGCCACTGCCGAAATTCCCTCAAAGACTTCCAAAGGGCTTGAATAAGCAAAGCTATGCCATTAGGTTTGTAATCAGCATTATCTCTTTAACTGGAAGACAATAAAAAAAGACAGCAAGTTAATATATATGAGGAGCTTGATGGTAAAGTGTTTAACGTGTTTGGTCTGCCATGCGGAAGCAAAGCAACTTTCGCAACGGCAGGTTATGGGATGGGTGACCAAACTTCTTTGCTTCTGAAGGCACATTCAGCCGTTGATTTTGGCAGCATCTACGGTCTTTATCACTGACTAATCTGAACTGGACACTTCCTTTCATCCATAGGAAAAGCTGGGTACAGGTTTTTTCAGTAATAAACCAACTGTTCTAAATGTTTTGCTTGCTGCTTGGTATATCGTCAAGAGGTGTAGTCTTATGTCTTGCCACTTCACAAGTGAAAGTATTCAGCGTCCACTTAAAAAAAAAAAATTCTCAATGTTTTAGCCCTGCAGTTAGGGCAGCAGAGCGATTCCGTAGTATTCTAAACCCGAATTCGAATTCATGCATAGATTCATATGTGTCTCAGATATTCTTACCCGATGTCATTTCGTAACTCACTACACTTATGCCACGAAACGTTAATACCAATTCAATGTTAAGCAGATGTCGCTTTCGGTCCCGCTTTCGGGTTCGGATTTTTACGAACTCGCTATGCAGATTTAATTAATTGCGTAATATAGCAATTAGTCTGCTATTTAATTATAGGTACAATAAAATTTTAGGGATTTACCTGCAGAGGACACCCTTTACACGATTAAGTTTATAAAAAAAATACTTGCTCATTCAATATAATTTTCATTAAAATTTATTAACGTATAATTCGGGCGACTATTTAAAAAAAACATAATTTTCGTTTTTCTTTTTTTACCTCTATAGCCGCCAACACGTACACGCCGTTGGCTATCAAATGGTAATATAGATTAAATATTTTTTAGATTCTATTTCAGTTAACCTTTGTTCGTAAAATATTTTTATCTACTATAGTCGAATAGCTGATTGTTCAAATATTCTAATCGTTTTGTAACAATTCCTAAAAACCATGAGCTTCTCTGTTTTATGGACCTATTATACAACCAAAATTATTCTTTACAACATTTATTTGCTTATGTAAATTGAATTACGTCAAGCAAATTGTAGATACCCACAGAGAACTCCTGTCTACCTCTGTCTTATCTTTGCCATTGTAATCTGAAGTAGGTTCTGAAAACCTCACAGATATTATAACTATTCTGTCTTGTAAGATTTATTATTAAATATATTACGTCCATCATTTTAGGCGCCCAAGGGGATAGCCCGTCAACCTCTGTCTTATCTGTCATTTCAGGCAAACCAAAGACCGTCTGTAGTTTTGAACGTTACACAAACGTAACTACTCAATCTAAAAATATATACCTTATATCTTATTGTATTAAAAATCCGTTGCTGCTAAAGGATACGTGTCTAATATGTACCAAAAGTCAGCAAAAGGAGGTTCAGGGTTCGATTCCCGGTCAGTCAATGTAGAAAACGGACTTTTCTATATGATCGAGGGTCTAGGTGTTGTGTTAACTTTAGCAACTCATCTTGTCAAATTATTTATTCTGTTTAGGCTAACACTACATACTATTAGAAAAAAATGTATACCGCTAACTCCCTTCATCACAATGTCGGACTTCCATAATTCTTTTGTCTCTTCACAGCATAGGCAAGCAGATGGTAACTGACGTCCACCCAGCTCCGTGGTTTTTGAACACTGTGCTACGTCACGTAGATACTGATGGACTAGTATTAAATGGAGACCAACCACGATGGCTACTGTTACCAATCATTGAAAAAGACCGAGGTCCCAAACGAGGCGGGCGGGGCGGTAAATTAACGCTCGACATCAAACTTCTGGCTAGAGTCAATTTAATTGATGACAGAGGATGTATCGGACCTGCCGGAAACGCTACCGCTTATGGTAAACAATAAAAATACTTTTTTTTATATCTCATTAGCCGTTCGCTTTGAGTTGGCCCGTCCGCTTCTCCACATCGGATGACGAAGTTTATTTCCCCGAATACGAAATTTCCCCTATATAGGAAAAGTTAACACGACTCCAAAGAAACGCATTTTCCATAAATTATGATGATGCAATAAAAGCAGGACCAGACACTGTGTCTGATGTACCGATAATATTCAGGGAAATGATTTTATCAAAATAATAAGAAAGTTTCCAAATTTTCCGCAATTCCGTTTATAGACAAACAGAATGAGGCCCCAGGCAGACCCTCTGAGTAGTAATATGTACAAAAATGCACAAATCTCACAACGTAATTCTTCTCCCGAAGAGTTATAAAATCAACGTAAACCAAGTCGATTAATTCAGTACCTACCTATCTTTCTGTGAGAGCAACTATCCAATATATCTAAGAGTCCGTGGGTCTGTTAGAATTTTGTTTAAGTACCTTAGAATTATGATGATCTATGAGTCAGTCAGTGACAAAATTAAGGTATTTTTAATTACAATAATTCTTAAAGTACTCGTTCAAATTGCATGTGATGTGATGCCTTCTTGGTCACTTAAAATTTAGGCTTCTAATTTACTCCACAACGAAGTCAAAAATGGCTTGGATAAAAGGATTTTACGGCCGTGGCCTTTTCACTTTTTTGCTCGATTTGTCAGGGCCACATCCGTGCCCCCAGATTAAACACTTACGTAAAAAATACCAAATTCCAGCATTTAGCATTTATGCATTAAATAATTATATTGTATATTATTGTTTTGTCAACGGTACCAGCTGGATTGTGTACGTCATTTAGTAACTGTTGATAGGTCAACTCGAAGCGAACAGCTAGTATTTTAAATATTTCCACATATCAAAAGCACGTTAGCAGTTGTCCAGCCTTAATTTCCATTGAGAAAAGCTGTTTATAATATGAAAATTTAAATTTCTGCCATATGCCTACACGGTATGCAGTCAATCTAATTTCAAAAACTACAAAAACCGTTGTCAAATCACTACTCTAGATTTTATAACAATTCTCGTAGCTAACATATTGCTGATAGAATTAAGTGTAATAAATAGTGATTTAGACATGTTTGTAGTATGTAAAATCATGGAAAACTATAAAGGGCTGCTATATCTTATTGAAATATAAATACCAGTACTTCTTCGGAATTTTTAACATATTTTTTGTATGCATAACCTAGGTAAATGAACTTTTATTCAAATTATGGTATAGATAGAGAATTTTCATTACAAATCATATCTTTTTAGATCCCGCAGATGAAGATAAAATGGCGTATGGACCATATGTAAGTTATACTTTGCACCTAATTTGCCTTTTTGCGATTTCCGTACCCAAAAGGTTACAACGGGAACCTATTACTAAGACTTCGCTGTCCGTCCGTCTCTCACCAGGCTGAATCTCAAGAACCGTGATAGACAATTGTTTTTTTTTTTTTATAATGGGCTCGCTCTTGACTTCAATCTCAATCAATTTCCACAGATGCTATATTTCTGTTGCGCTACTACAACAAATACTTAAAAATCTAATAAAATAAAATTTAAGGGTAGCCCATACAGCAAAAGTGATTTTATTGCGATTTTCATAGATAATATAACGGCACCGTTCGTGCGCGTATCCAACCCACAGTTGGCTGGTTTTACAAGATTTATTAACCTTGCCCATGTTAGTCAGTGTATTTTAAAAATACTACACTGGACACAATAAAAGGAAAGTATCAAAATATTACCTTATGACTAAAGATAAAATATACCATTCCATATATTTAACGCCCTGTCCATCAAAACGAAGTAAAAAGCTGCATTATGTCGCTAAATAATACAAAATCTGAAGGTAACGATGCACTAAAATATTGAAACAATGTTCATTTGAAATCAGTCTTCTTTTGGCATATCTTATAAATTTAACATTGGAAACAGGAATGTTTCTATCCAAACTCAAAATATTAATGTAAAGTAGCTAAAACCATTAAAAGTATGGCTGATAAAAAACCATGTGTAGGATTATTCTACGACGTCAAAAGCCTTTGATCGCGTGTCATATAATCTTCTATCTAAATTAAAATTGTGACTGATCAAAAGTTAGCACACTGATCCTGTGCTGAAATTTTATGTTGTAACCCAAAAAGATATAAACTACGATACAGATCAGCCTATCTCCGAAATCTTGGGAGTGCCTCAGGGCAATATATTCGGAGCCTTACTGTTTCTGATTTATGTTTACAACTTACCAAATATAATAAACCATAAATGTATGCTGACGATATTTCTATTATTGTTAAAATGAATGACTTAAATAACTTTAAAAATAATATTAATGAATCTGTGCATCGTTTAATAGAATTGCTTAGTGACAATAATCTTGAAACTAATATAAATAAAACTAAATTTCGTTGACTATACATAAAAATATCATACATCGCCTTGAACATATAACCTCCTTCTTTTGAATTTAAAGTCAGTAAAAAAATCAAATAAAATAAAAAATAGTTATATTTCCAAAAATATTGTTTGTTCGCAGATACTATGGACTGTTTTTGGTGGCGTATGCGTATTAGCTATTGTTCTAGTGTTCGCCATAACTTCCCGCGTCGTTAAGAGGGTTTTATCTACTCTCTGCCCCGCTGCAGTATCTACTCCGCTAGCACCTTTAAAACGACGACCTGCATGGCTTCATCTGCAGCTGCGGTCGTGAGTACTTATATATAAGAACAACATAATTTTGATTTGAAACACATATTTTCAATGTTGTATACTTCTTCGGATAAGTACCTTTTATCTTCTTCCGGGAGCAACGATAAATTAACCAATTACCGTGTCAAAATGATAGTTTTTTTACAGGATTGCTACCATATGCCTTGTTTTTATTGAGTTTTCGATATTTAAAACAACATATAATTATCGTGTCTTTGCGATTTCATTTTCAGAATTCATTAGGAGCAGATAATTTATGGCGAATGAAATTTTTCCACACTTAGTTACAATTTTGTTGCATACGAGTCACATAACCAAAATCTAACGTAAATACTTGTCATTTGTACATAGTTGCTAATTTCAAATACGATAAGACCGTATTTGATTAAATTAAATTAATTATTTAAGCGAAAAAATCATTGAAAAGCTATATATACGCCGTTTATCTCGTCGTGGATTGTGAATATCACAGAATATATACGAGTACTATCAAAAATAGCATCAATAGAAAATTAATAAAGTGTTTATTAGAAAACATCTTCTGAAGGGCTACGGTAAGACGCTGGAATTTGATGACTTCAATCTCGGAAACTTAACACTTCCATTCATTCATTTACTTCCAGACGATGTAGGCATACTATTACTAATGCATATTTTTGTTGATGTGTATGTGAATACTGGATTGGTAAGGAGAAAATAGTTTAAGAGCTTTCACCTACCCACTATGTTATAATTTAAAAGATGAAAAGGCGTAGGGAAGATGAGCCCAAAACGGGTAAGCTAAGGGAGATGTTCAATAAAACAATCAAGAAAAGTAACTGCAACTTATATTTGTACTCATAGGAATGTTTATTTATTAAACTTTTGAAAACAAAACACAATCATAGTACTCTTCTTATGTACTCAAAGTAAAATAAAGAAAAAAAAACCTTCGAACTACCCGCTTTGCCCGTAGGGGGGGCCTAAAACGGGTACCGTCTTGGGCAAAACGGGTAATGAATAAATCTACGAAATAAATCAACTAAACTATAACTTTTAACATCTTAACCTTTAATTATAACATAATGACTTTTTTTATCCTTAATCAGTCTCCATAACATTCACATTATTTTTTTACTTATTTAAATCCTGCATTTAAAATTACATTTCTATCATTAATATACAAACTAAAGTTATTCTTGACCAGCATCACAGTAATAAGAGCCTCTACCAGAATATCCAGTGCACGCTTCGTGAGTCCACATTTGGCAGTCATCACATCTGATCCAGTCTTCGATAGGTGGGTGTACATATAACTCAGAACAAACCAAGCATGAATATTCAGTTTCCTCATTTTTACCTTTTCGACCACGTTTGGGTTTTTTCTTTAAATTTTTCTTTATGACGTCAATTTTAGTTTTTGAAACTTTTTTCTTATTCTCTTTTTCTCGTTGTTGATCTTTTATCGGTGTGCTTGTAAGTATTTCAACTTTCTGTTGCTTACGTCTTCGAGTAGTTTTTTGTGGGATCATTTGAGGTAGTGGCCTGATGTTCAGTGGGGTCATATGCTGTTTTTCAGGTTGCAGGCCCGTATCTTCTGCTAAAGTCTTACATGGTGTTAAAGGTTCATCAAAAGATTGAACAACTGGAGTTGGAGTATTGCGCGAACTTATAGGTTCATTAAAAGGTTGCGGTTCTGGTTCTTTTTCTTCCATAGGCAAATTATTGTCCACATTTTGATTCAAAATAGACGGTGACACAGTGCGGTCAGAATCGAAAGATGATCGAATATTTGCATCACAGGGGAGAGATCTTTCAACATGATGTTCGTTATCAGCAACAGATATCTCTGGAACATTAACAAGTGACTCAGTCTCATTTTTAGTTAATGGCTCTGGCCTATCAGTCATACTGGCTGGCATGTAATCACCGTCGTTAAATATGTGTCGATTGGTTGACCATATACCAGTAGAAGTAAATCCTTTTATTGCATTATGTGCACTAGCCGCTTTAATGTAGGCCTCGCCAAACAATTTTGCCACATCATACTGTGATATGATGCGCCCGACATGTGTTCGTTGAAACAATGAAATAGCCTGCTCAAAATAATTTTTGAATGGACCGTATACACATGTATCAAGTGGTTGTAGGCGGTGTGTCGTGTGTCGTGTGTGGTGGTAGAGACACAAAAATCACATTATGCTTTGAAGCATACTCTAGGACTTCAAGATACTTATGCGATTCGTGATTATCCATCACTAAAATTATTTTTTTATCAGGTGTTGGCCTAGTCATACTCACAAAGTGACGTAGCCACTCCAAAAATATAGGACCGTTAATCCATCCATTGT